TTTTTAATTAAACCTTAAACAATTCTCTGACGCTATTTTTTTATGAATATCCTCATTTGAGGAATTGTACAAAACTATGAGAGGGTGAACCTCGGGACTGTAAATAGGTAATAAATTATTTTATTAAGATAAATTTGTGTGTTTGGCTTTGCACTGATCTAGTTCTTACACTAGTACATCTACATTTTCCTAGAAATCGTTGGAATACTTATTTTGTGGATTTTAGGTAATGTTTTCAATCTTATGACTCAATTTTTATGAAAATTTTCCCACAGTTTGTCACAAAACGCCTATTTTCGGAGACAGGTCAGACAAAAAAATGTAAACCGTTTCAGCAGATTGGCTAAACGTATACATGCTGCTGACACACACTGAAAAAATGCCAGGATGAGAATGAGAATTACTTTCTGTTTCATTTTTCACCCATAAAATGAGTGGATATTTACCATTGTTTAGTTAAAATAAACCAGAAATTAGTTTCAATCACCCAACCTGGGTTGAAATAAAATAAACTATTGTGTAGTTGCAGTTTTCACCCTCCCCTGAGTTAAAATTTAACCCGGGCAATTTTTCAGTTTTTGAATAAATGACCTATATCAATATTACCATGTGTAACAGAATGATTTGATACTTCTTGTATGCACTCATAATGAATGTTAATTGCAGTGTTTCACAAAGGTCATGAAGGGGCAACCGAGATGTTGGGGATGAGGCCCCCGGCTGAGATGGTCTAAAATCCCCATATTTGCTCAAAAGCAAATGGGGAAGAGCTTTATTTGTTTTGTAATATATTTTTTCTTTTTAAAAAGAAAACTAATAAAAAAAGCAAACAAAAACGGTCAGCCATACAACTGACCCTATTCTATCCTATCTTCAAATCTTTGAGTCGGTGAATCTTAATTTCTAGTACATTGGGCATTACCGGTACTCGGACGTTTGGTTCGATCAATGCTTGACCTTCATACCCTCACTTGAAAGTAATCAGGCACGTTCGGAGTATCTTTGGACTAATCTCCACATAGGCTCCTTTTACTTGGATATGGAACTTCATCTTTTTTTAAAGACCATCCAGCTTAACTAGAAAAAAGTCCTCATATAGGTAATCTTACCACATCAAGAATTTAAAAGATATAAAATTAGGCACTTTGACATTCGTTCGCGTGCACAAAGGTTATGAATGGCGTTTAAGCCAAGGTGAACAAACTGTTCAGGGCTGACACAATTCTCTTGTTCACAAAGTGCAATACGTCCTTCAATTCCCAAAATCGAGAATGAACTTGAAGCAATTACTGGAAATTTTGTAGAAAAGGAACAATGATACCACAAACCGTGATTATTACGTGATAATGACATGACCTTGTGTCAATTATTCTACGGGTTAATCAGTTGCATTTAGAGGAGCTGTAACAGAACACGTGAACAGACGGAAGTAAAAATTGTTTAAAAGGGGTTAGTAGCGGGCCTCGTGATCAGTATGTGTGTATTGTAAAAACACAAAGCTTGGCACACAAAAGTGGTTTTGAAAAGACCATTATGACGTATGCACTTCGCACTTCAAAACACCATGCCTTTACAGTCGCATGACCTTGTGCAAGCTACAGGTGTTACTGGCAAGTTTGTATTTCCTCATTCCATTTCAGACCATAAATCCTGCAGCAATCCAACTAAATGTGAGACTTAATTTAAATTGGATTCTTCCTACACCCATTTTTACACCTAAGGTATCACTGAATAGTTTAAAATGACGCATTCAAGCAACTTGATGAGATTTTCCGTAGTTTTCTGCCTGTCGTTGTCAGTGATATTTGTTACACAATGCGTGGGAAGCTGCGACGCCGGTCACAGTACAGACACGGATGGGTAAGATTCAGATCATAATTATTTAATCTGACATAACATGACATCTTTGTTAATGTTGCTTTTTAAGTGTAGAGCCGAAAATCATGTTCCTTCGTATTTTGCTTCAGTTGAATTTTATTCTTGTGATTGGCTTTGTCAGAGGAAGTACGAACTGCTTATTAAAGTAATGTCACAATTTTCATAAAGGGACGGCCATATCAACTTCAAATAACAAAATGCTGTCGAGATAATAACCAGAAAAGTAAAATTGCTGGAAGTGCACTTTTAAACAAATATTTGCAGTTAAAAACCTCGTATGCTTCAGTGAAAGATAAACTTAACTTTTATCAGTTATAACGAAATGATGAGGATAACTCAAATCAAAGTAATCAATGAAGATTCTCGTCCCTGCGTGAAAACAAACTCCAAGTTGTCTTACCTTGTAGCTCTTCCGTAGTGTGTATTTTGCCATAATAACCGTAATGAAGGGCATTCAGTTTTGCACAATTGCGGCTGAGAATGTGACAAAGGTGCAAGGCCCTTCGTGGAAACGTAAACTGAGTCTTACATATACGGCTTTTCGTGCAATTGGGATTTATTGCATTCAAGGGGCAGTCATGTTTGCATCCTTGAATGACAACGAAAAATGCGGTTATCGAGATGATTTCCCCTGGTGCGCATCATTAATGTATTTAGATTTTATGCGGAAGCATTTCAACATGGTATGCAATATTTTAAATAAATAGTGAAAAAAAAAGTCAAAATCGACAAAACTGCCATTTTGACCTGCCCAACCCTTTGTTAAACGGTTGTAAATTCTGATAATGTACGTTTTCATGAAAACTTAATCATAACTGTACCATTTTACTGACTTTTTATCGGATCCGCGAACATTTCAGAAACCAGCTCAGCTCCCCATCAAGTACACAGACAAATATTGATTTCACTTAGCATTTTTTTTGGCAAAAACGGGAAATGGTGACCTGAACCAGATATTTTCTTTACTTCTGATAAGTGAAGGGGAGAGAATCAGTTAGTGACAGAGTGTCTTCTCCAAGGTTGCAAGTGGCCTTACAGGGATGGATTCAAACCCAAAACATGCAGTATCAGGGTAAATGCCCCACAAACCGTGAATACGGCATTTACGGCCAACACCATTACAGGTATCCCAGAGATGCGTACCGATGCCAACTCCCTTAAGAATGATCGTTTCGTTTTAGTATGTCGTTTGTTGCATATGTAAGCAACAAAAGTATGTAGTTTCTGTTGTTTATCATATAATCTGTATCTGGTATTTCTTGGCGCTTAGGGCAGGTGGATTCCTATAACAAAAGGGTGAAAAGGTATAATGATGTCACGTGACTCATATACTGTTTGGATAAGTATATATTTTGCTTTGGTGAAAAACCATGGCTGTAATAAACCATCCATGAATTTGTCAAACTTTGACTCAAGAATCACTGTTAGTTTTTCCAAAACTTTAGTTTCCAATGCAATTTTAATATCAGCTAATCCTTGGCCGTCAGGATATTCACTCCCGAAGACGGCTTTGCTCCATCAGCATAAATTAGACTTTCCCTGGACGCTTTTTGACTAAAAGTGCACGTCGCGATCAGAAGAGTGTTCCTCGTGGAACAGTGCCTAAATTTGTCAAAACTGTGCATTAAATCAAAGTAATCTGTGATAGTGTCTAGAGTGGCATGGGCTATACATGTATCGTGTTTGTTTCGTACGCAGTGTGAGGCAATCGGTTAAAACGCATCAGGGTATGAGTCATGCTTAAAGGGCCCATGAATGTGTGTTTTATTACTTTGAAAAATGGAACTTAATAATGTTTAAAATAGTCAGTAAAGTTGTCACCTTTATTATTAAGTATTAGAAAAAAATTATAAAGAGTATTTGCGACATGACCCCGCCCCAAGGGAAGCACCTTATTAGCATAGAAAATTTTCATCATTGTGACGCACGTTTGAGAACCCAATTCGAAGAGTGGCGCCGGCGCTAGCACTGTGTGTATGCATACCCGTGCAGTTGATCACCAAAGGTTTGCTACACTACTAGTCAAATTTGTGGAGCGTGCCAAACTGCTGGTGTGTTGCTGCAGGTTGTGGCAACACAAGTAAAGATATCACAAGTATCCACAATTTTGCAAAGACAGGAAATATCGGAAATTTGGACGTCGACAGTCAGCTAGGCTGACTGCGTCAAGGAAGTTTTATGTGCTACTCTGCAGTTCAGACGGACGAAATGGTGCACGACTCTTTGTGGGTGCTGAAACCTGCGTCCCGAACAGCACTGCCGCCATTTGTCACAATTCAAGCATAAATTTGAGGGACGCAATTTTGAAAACAGCAATTAGCCACAATTAAAGGAAACGTTTCCAACTTTTAATCATTTGTAATGTGACTGACATAGCAAAGCACAATCTGAAGCAGAAAACAGCAGTTATTCTAGGGCGGGCCCTTGACAAGACCGCTCTCTCATGTAAAATGCTAAACCTTCTATTGCCGCTCGGAAATTTTCAATACATGCAATAAAGTCGTTCAACTCACTGCAAGATGCCTCCTTTAAACTGTAACTGATCTACTGTAGGCCTCCATGTAAGGTGGTTAAATCAGTCAGGTATAACATTCTATTGAATCATAGGATTCAAACCAATAGTGCTGTGTTTAGGAAAAGTGGTTCACCTAGGCTTGGCATATCAGCAACCAAGTTTGTTTGTGATTTCAAAAAAAAACCACATATTTTCATCCGTAATGTAGCATATCAAACAAACTATATAGAGAATTTTTTCCCTCACACCAAAGCGTATGTATTCAGAACTCTCGTTTCGAATCTGGAGACTTTCACCCCTATCCTGCTAATTGTACCTCTATTAGGATGGGGTAGGAGTGGCGTCACGTGCAAGGTGCATAGGAAGTAAAGGTAAAAAATATAGGCGTCTATCAACCAATGATGAACACAGTAATACAAAAGGCACTTTGGGCGGGAAAAAATTCGTTTGATGATCTAGAGGAGACAGTAAGCCTACAGAGAGCGTCGTCCCTCTGATAACTGGTAGGGTGGCTTCCTAGAAAGTTAGGTGTCGAAGGCAACGGCACAGCGGTTGCTGGGAGCTGGTTCTATATCCCAATGGGTAGTGAGTAAGAGTACAGTATTTGTATCGATCTCTGGATGCGTCCAGTACTCCTCAACTGATGGTCATGTCTTCCTATAACAAATGGTGCTGCATGCCTGATGAATAGGAACTGTAGTTTACCACTCCATGATGAATGTTATAGAACATGGTTAATTGTGAGTGTGAATTTGCTTCTAACTTAGGGTGTTAATCCAGTGAGATACATATGTTGTTCTAGAGATTGCGAAAAAAATCACAAGCTCGGGAAAGCCACGACCTCCTGCTTACAAGTGCAGCCGTCTTAACCACTTGACCACCGAGCTTGCAGGGGTTGGATATAGGGAACCTGACTGGGCGTTTGCATATTAATAATAATGATGAACGATGAAATTGCCTGGAGAGAGATTTGAACCTGCAACCTCCCGAATCCCGTAACGGTGCTCTACCAACTGAGCTGTCCAGCCCTACGTTGGTGGCTTCTGACAAGGGCCCCTGCACAAAATTAATGTGATGTTGACAAATGGGAAGAGCCGTCATTAATCTGCAAGCAAGAATTAACAAATGCCAGAAAATGTCCATAAATTTAGAGTTTGAGGATTTTTTTCTATTTTATAGGTCTGAAAACGTCGGGATATGTACATGCACGAGTGCCAGTGACTCTTCAACGCTGACGTGTTCTGAAGAGCCGACGGGTAAATAACCACGACCTAGACTTCAAATGAAGACATGACGCAAAAGCCATTATGAAGCTTGGAATATGTTTAATTGAATTGAAATAAAATAAAAAATATATCATTGGAGTTCAAATGTTTATGATGTAGTTGCGATAGGGCTATGTTGTAAGCTTATGTGAAATTCTGAACTGATTACAGCATAAAGATGCTGTTCAGATTGACAATTTAAAGATTGCAACGGCTGAAGGAAATAACATACACTTTAAATACGATCTTGTAATAACAAGCAACCTGCTGATAAACTAATATCATGAGACCTTTGCTGGTAAGTTTTCAATGTTTTATTGATCGAATTTTCAGATTGTGAGGTCGACGAAGTTTTGCATAGAAGATCTTGTTACAGATTCCTTCGTGGCAACAGTGACCTCAAGTCACGTGATGACGCCCATCGGGATTGCATTGCTCGTAATAGTCATCTCGTCTACATCGAGTCAGTAGAGGAGCAAACATTCTTGGCGAATCATTGCCATAGGCAGTCACCCAGAGATAGCAGCATTTCTGCAGCTGATCATTACTGGATTGGACTGATACCAACCACCAACAACACCTGGCTGAATAGGAGTCTGGCACACAATGATCTATTTGAATTCTCTCAAGACAGCAAAGCTGGATGTTTCTCACTGTATAAATCTCGCGGGGAAGTACGTTTGATTGGTGAGAATTGTAATCGAAAGAACCAGTTCATCTGTGAACGTCCTTATGGTAAGTATTATTTCAAAGTAGTTCCAAGACGCTTTCCAGAAACTCTTTCCTGCAGATTACAATGTGATGAATTTCAGTTTGTGTGCCACTCATTCTGATGCTCCAGGTAATTTATATGGCAATTGCGTAAGGTGTGGTCCGTTTAGCTTACTATGTGCACATTCAATCCCTCAACAATACCTTCGTGGTAATCGTAACTGAAGGAGTAATCTATTACTAATCAAAGACGTTTTCAATTATTAATATTTTTGTCTACGTTTTGTCTTCAGTTTATACAAGTTAAACGTTTTTGTGGGGCATTTTGGCTGAAAATAGCGATGCTGAAGCACATTTGGTTTTCCGTTGCGTTAACAGAATGCAGAGCTGGATATTACGTTAATCATGAAGGTTCGTGTTATTGGTTCGGTAGACAGAAGATATTTATCTTGGCCCGAGATAGTTGCAGATATTGGGGCGGTCATCTACTGTATATCGAATCAGAATCCGAGCTACAGTTCATCGACAGTCACTTCGACTCTGAAAACTCCGCAAGGTACTGGATAGGATTGATTACTCAGTACGTTTGGTTGGATGGCAGCCGAGCAGTCTATCAAGATTTCGGGCAGAGAGAACATAGCAACAACGATGATAGTCTTTGCTTCAAGTTATCACCCATAGATAACTTTTTGTGGTATGACTGGGATTGCAGTTCAAACTACAGCTATATCTGTGAGCGAGAAAAGACTACGCTCTCTCGGGAAAAACAAGGAAGTTCAGGTTGGTAAGGTGAATGCTACACAACACTTATCCAAATTTTATATCAGTATAAGTTTCAGGAGTTGAACTTTATACATGTATGTTCGCGGCCATGACCGCTTTTGTAACCATGCAATGGCAGCCAACCATAAGTAAAGCAAAACCAAAATAGATAACAAAATATAAACCAATAAAAATTAACAGCTGAACTGCTTACATGTCTTTAATTCTTCGTGATCACATGTAACATTTTATATCATACAGTTTCAATTAAATTCTTATATAATTACTATCTGTTTACTTACATAAGAGCCATGCCGACCATCGCTTCCTAATCTCAACCGACTTTTTGACTCCTTGCCCATATGCATCAGTAGTGGCAGGGATCACTTTGACAACGCTGTTCTCTGTCAATGCAATGACAAAACAACTTGCATCAGTGGGTGTGGCTGTGTACGTGATATCACTGCAAATGGGTAAGATACTGAAAGGATTGGAAGGAATATATATGGCCTAGCAATATTGAACGAAACAAGAGCACATTACGATCATGATATCAATATATTTTTCTCCCAAAGTAACACATGTGCAGTGTATTTTTATGTTTAGGTAGGGCGAGTTTGGCAGCCTGAAGCAAACATTTATAAGATGTCCCTTTGCTGGCAAAGTATCCCTTTACTAAAAGGGAATTTCAGGAGAGATAGTTCGAACAGCAAAATGAGATTATATACTGAGGAACACATACGTGCCCTTCTGCACTGATCGCCATTGTCTTTTTATGCCATAAAGGAATGAGACGGCACAGTGCAGCTGTGGCTCTTGCAGTTTCGCCTTTGACACGTCTGAAAACGGAAACGGTAAGAGTTAAGAATTGTGGAATTATGCGTTATTTGCTCAGATACGCATGGAGGGGCTACGTCTGAAATTTGGAAGACTATCCATAAAGGGAATTATGTTGTGTGTACACAAGGACAAAACATGAAATGAAAGACATGAAATGGCTTCAGCATTGTAAACAACACGTTGTAACCCCCACGTACCAAAATATATTTTCTGACCCCCTCCCCTCCAAAAAAGTCTGGATCCGCCCCTGTTGCATGACTGTTTTATAAACTTTAGAAACTATACGGTACTTAAATAACTATTCTGTGTCATTCATATTTCAGCCACAACATTCAAAGTTACGATGCCATTTACACCAGACCCGTGTTTCTTTGTAAACCACTATTTGCTGGAAGTTAGTTATTGTATACCAAGTTGCTTCGTTGGATTGGTTTTTCCTTCATATTTAAATAGGTAGACTGCCAAAGGTTTGTTTGGGCTTTGGATGCTTGCTATGTGGGTTTGAATGGTCAAAAGGATTCTCCTTTTTTATAATCTACGAGTCGACTGTGTTAGCAATAAGACAAACCTGACACCTCGATCAAGGCTACTGTATTAGACTGTACTAAATCACACAAATAAATTGACGTTGAATTTACAATAAAATTATTCTCTTCGAGACAACAGGTTTAAGATGGCCATCTAATTTCGCCTGTATCTGTGCTGCAAATGGTACTTCTTCTCGTGCGACTGTTGTCGATGGAATATTTACCTGTTTGACGGATAACTTGGAATCTACGACTGCACGAAGAATTGAAAAAAGAAAAACCTCCGGGATGACCTCAACACCATCAAGAGTATATCAAGTGTCAACGGAAAACATCGCTACCGGAAGGGGTGGAGACTCGGATGGCCAGGTTGGCATATCGGTCGGAATCCCCGTGGCAGTCAGTCTAGTCATATTGTTTTTCTTAGTGGCACTCGTTGCTGGATTTATCTGTTGGAGAAGACGTGGAAAGAGGGCAAAGAAAGGGTAAGTCTGACCATGTGACCTCGTTGGTAATAGCATATAGGTCTGTAATCTGGAGATGAAAGTAAGAAATAAACCAATCAAATTAGTAAATGTCATCGAACTCTCCGAAAAAACAAAACCAAAACCTCATTGGCTTGAAAGTGTCTTTGAGTTAACATTAACTCGAGTAGGGTTACCCAAAAGCAGACTATTACTGGTAGCACATTTTGTGGATCGAGGGGAACCCTCGCAAAAAAAAGAGTATTTTTAAAAACGAGACAGGTTATTTCTGGTTTGTTTCACTTCGTTTCCTTAATTCAAAAAGCCTGTGTAAAGTTTCAGACTTCAGCCTCAATCTTCAGACAAGCCACAAAGTTAACATGTCTGAATTTCTAAAGTGTTCCCCCCTCAACCAAAGCACGTCTCCTTGACTGAACCATTATATCACCTGTTAATTTCTGACATGAAAATGAAACCGTAATTTAAAAGTTCAGATTAGAAATTGAAGTCATTAATATTTATCTTCCTTGGTTTTTAGTTAAATCATATTTCTTTACTTTCGATTGTCAAACATAGGCCTACCAAACAGCTGACATCGGATACACGCGTTGTTGGGTCGCACACAATAAATGGTGAGTAGTCAGTTTGAGAGTTTGTTTTTAAAAAGTGTGTTTATTCTCTTAATATCAAACTACAAACAAATAATCTATTAATTTTTAAAATTCTAAGCAATCCTTTCGTAACGAATACTTAAAAATAAATTTAGGAGGAATCTGTGTACGTATAACACTGTTATTTTATGTCTCGGCAGTAAATCCAACATACACAGGAGTCTGTGATGATCACGTGACTGAAGACATCTTAAAACCAATCGCAGTGGCTCGTCAGAAGAGGGTTTTGAAGCCGCAAGCAGATACTGTCTATTCCAACATAAAGGTAATAAAAATGTTTTCAAAATATTAGTATCAAGAAAAAAATACAAACGTTACAAAATGTTATGATTTCTTTTTATCCAAAGAAAATAACACGTGGATATTACAGTGGATAAACATTTCTCAAGGTACAACTGAGAAAATATCGTAAATTTTAATTTATTTAAATTGAATGATCTTTCATCGTGAAAAAGAAAAATTAATTACTTTTTATGTATGAAAGCACCCATACGTTTTTTATCTCACTGCCCGTGCTGACTAAAGCATATACGCATGCCCCAACATAAAAGTTGAGTTGTAGAAAGATTTATTTCCATTTTGGTATTAACACAGCCAATCGATCAGGCAGCCAGCGAATCAGAGTGTTACGTCACTATTCACTCTAATGGATACACTCTAGACAAGCCAAAGGATGAAAGGGACGTCCACACAACTCTACATGGCAAGGATAGCAGCGAAGCCAAGAATACTCCCGACCCGGCTACTGGATACACTGCTTACAAACCACAGCGTGGAAATGATGTGTACACG